CTCTGAGATACATGTATGGAAATGAGAGACCCGCATGCACAGTTAGACTCCCGAGTGCCATGGGACCAGGAAATGTGATTAGACCACATACAAATCATTTGAGTTCAGAAGAAGGTTAGTGGATGAGGAACTAGGTTTATTCAGAGATGCATCATTGAACAAGTACGGATCAAAAACAACAGGAAAGAAAAAAAGGCTATTCAAGTTTCTTTTTTTCTTCTTATTTTTTGTTTTCAACTGCAGCTTTATAGAGATGGTTATGATTGTCAGTTTTATAATGAATATTTTCTGTGATGGTTTCTTAAGCAATTTTTAAAGCAAAATATACATTGGTGTATTAAAACTGAAAAAAGCAAAATCTACAAGCTTTGTCATTGTTTTTGATGGTGATGTACTCAAAGTTTTCTCATTCTGGTTTAAATAAAAATTTTAGAAGTGTGAGCAAAAGCACTGCTATTGAATTGTAAATGATTCTTATCAGTCAAAGCCATGCTTTAGGCTTTCAAATAAAAGATGGCAAGCAGATCCAATGTGTTTATATTTTGTTCATTCCAAAACGTATTGAAATGACAGAGAATATGTAATAATAAAATAAAGCCAGCAATTCTACTCCTAGGTATATGCTTAATAGAAGTACATACATCTTTTCATAGAAAGACATGTAATCATATGTTTATAGCAACCCAACTCATAATAATCCAAAACTTCATAGTATCCAAATGCCCAGCAACAATAGAAAGTAGAGATAAATTGGATAATAATCACCTCAGGCGTTTCACTGGCATAAAATTGTATCTATTTGATTGAGAGCTGTCAGCTCTGCAAACTGGACAGATTGGTTAACTTCCGTGTACCTCAGCACCCTTATATTTATTTTCATGTATTTGTTTATTTTTGAGGCAGGATCTTGCTCTCTTGCCCAGGCTGGAGTACAGTAGCATCTTCCTTGCTCACTACAGCGCCAATCTCCCAGGCTCAGGTGATCCTCCCACCTCATGAGAAAAAATAAAGCATGGCTACATGCAAGAACATGGGTGAATCTCCAAAACCAGATTAAAGAAGCAAGACACAAAGTGTATACACTGTAGAATCCTGCTTACATAACATACAAAACAGGCAAAATTAATATGGTGCTGGAGGTCAGGGTAGTTGACTTCCTTTGGGGTCGCAGTATCTGGAAAGGTGCAGGAGGTGGGTTTCTGGAATTCCTGGTAAGAATCTGCTGTTTGATCTGGGAGATAGTTACACAAGCATACTCTTCAAAAATTAATCAAGTTATATCCTCACAATATGTTCGCCTTTCTGTATGTATAGACTTCAACAAAAAGTTGGGTATGTGAACACATGAGTAAATGAATAAAAACTTTATAGCAGGTCTAGGAAGCTGAGGGGGTGTCATCAGCCCACATGATCATTATACAGTTTGTAAAAAATGCAAAGCTGATGGGAAAAGGGTAAAAAAGGATAAAATACGACGAAGCTGAGAAAATTGCAAACTCATCCAGGTGAAGAAGAGTATCTCAAAAAAGTGATTTTTTCCATTAATGTTTCAAATAATTTCAGAATGATAGGCAGTGGTGTCATACAATTAGAACCTGGAGCCTGGAGAAAATGCACTCCTGCTGCAAAGACTGATCAATGCAGATTCGTATTTACAAATATAAAAAGATGACCAAAATTTCCCAAACATTTGAGGCAAACTACCCTCGTGAGAAAAAGCATCAAACCAAATGCAGCAAATTCAAATCCAGGAGAAAAAAAACTGTTAATATTTAAAACTGAAATATTAATGTAGCAAAGAATAATAATAATTTTTTAAAATTGTACTTTAGGCCCTGGGGTACATGTGCAGATCATGCAGGATTGTTGCATAGGTACATACATGGCAAGGTGGTTTGCTGCCTCCATCCCCCCATCACCTACATCTGGCATTTCTCCCCAATTTATCACTCCCCAACCTCCTCTCCCACCCACTGTCCCTCCCTTGTCTCCCCACAACAGCCCCCAGTGTGTAATTTTCTGTTCTTGTGTCAGTTTGCTGAGAATTATGGTTTCCAGGTTCATCCGTGTCCCTACAAAAGACACAAACTCACCATTTTTTATGGCTGCATAGTATTCAGTGGTGTATATGTGCCATATTTTCCTTGTCCAGTCTATCGTCGATGGGCATTTGGGTTGGTTTCAGGTCTTTGCTATTGTAAACAGTGCCACTATGAACATACGTGTGCATGTGTCTTTATAATAGAATGATTTATAATACTTTGGGTGTATACCCAGTAATGGGATTGCTGGGTCAAATGGAATTTCTGTGTCTAGATCCTCAAGAAATGGCCACACTGTCTTCCACAATGGTTGAACTAGTTTACACTCCCGCCAAGAAAAATTAATATATCAGAGACATTGGTGGCAAAATGCTGCCCCTCGGTCCAGGTGAATTTTCTACCACGGCATTTTCAAGGATTTTCTTTCCTCTGCCCTATGCCTTCCTTCTGGAAATAATATTCAGAGCTTTTTGAACTTTTGACCTATTTCTATGTCTCCCACAAGGCTTTCACCTCAGTAGTTTCACTGACATAAATTATATCTATTTGATTAAGAGCTGTGGGCTCTGTCACTTTGGCAGGTTGGTTAACTTCTACGTACCTTAGAGCCTTATGTTATTTATTTGTTTGTTTGTTTGTTTTCGAGACAGAGTCTCGCTCTGTCACCCAGCCTGGAGTACAGTGGCACCATTCTGGCTCACTCTAGCCTTGAGCCTCCAGGCTCAGGTGATCCTCCCACCTCAGCCTCCTGAGTAGTGAGGACTACTGCCATTCACCACCATGCTCAGCTAATTTTTTAAATTTCTTGTAGCGATGGAGTCACACGATGTTGCCCAGGCTGGTCTCAGACTCCTGGACTCATGCGATCTTCCCACCTGGGCCTCCTAAAATTCTGGTATTACAGGTGTGAGCCACTGTGCCCAGCCTTATTTTTAAAGCACAATTTACTATCTACCGCATAGGATTAGAGTGTGGATTAAAGGAAATAATGTAAGAAAGTCTTCATCATAGTGCCTGGCCAAAGACACATAAAGCCAGCTCAGCACTGCCATAGTTCTACACTTGGTAAACACCAAGTGTTTAAGAAATAGTTCACTGCAGCCTCGCCTCAGATCTTACTGTATGGGTCAAAGATTTTACTTCACCCCACAGTGTCAATTGCTTCTGACCATTATGAGGTTGAGAAATAAAATGAAATTAAATCTTACATATACTTTATGTTCTAAAGTCAGCTTGTAAGATGACTCATTGGAAGGTTTACATTTACCCTTGGAAAATCTTTTAATGGCTTACAAAATATTGAAGGGTATATGTGATTTTTAAATACAACTTTGAAAGCAACTTTTAAGCATTTTTTCCCTCTGATCCTCCTTGAATTATTCAAGCCCTTTTATATTAAAGAAGCAAACCGATCACTGGCCTCGAAATAAATGTATTCCTTTTTCACTGTCTGGGAAACTTGTAAAAACATGAACCTACTTTCCATGACCACCAACCATTTCGGAATTGCCTCTTTCCATGGCTTGCAGTAGAGTATGGTAGAGAGCCTTTCAGTTATTTTCTCTCTCTCTTCTCTAACAATTCATAATTGAATAGCTGCCCAGTTGGTGTCTGACACTCTGGACAGTTTATGCCCTGCTGTGCCCATACTCATATATATACAACTTTAAATATATATGACTTTAAAAAGACTAAACAATAAGGGAATATGTGTGTGTGTGTGTGTGTGTATATATATATATACATACATACATGCAGAGATTTCCTTATTGTTTAGTCTTTTTAAAGTCATTCAACTGAAATTCAGTGCTCTAATTTCTGAGGGCCATCTCAGTTCTATGGCTTGACTATCAACAGGCATTCCAATCTACTGCATTGAATTTGAAAGATAAATTTCCCACCAAAACTCACTTGCTGGTCACTTTCTTTGCTTCAGGGAGGTTCCTCTTTTGGTAGTCTGCACGGAACTGAAGTTGAGTTCTTCTTCAGAGCCTGTGTTACAGAACCTGGAATGAAAACATCACATTGGGGTTTGGCAAGATGGGAAAGGATCTCCTGTAGAACTCAGATTTGGATCAATATCTGTAATTCCTTTTACCCCTGCCCCTCGAGAGCAGTCCTGGTTTCTGTCAAGAGCTCTCAGTAAAGAAGGGTCAAAAAGCTATCCTTGCAAAGCAAGCCAGTGCTAATAAAATGACAAAAAGCTACTGAGAAGGGGATTTGACATTTGAAGGGGAGATTCATTGAAAGTCTGGCTTCAGGCAAAGGAAACCATTGGGTTTAGATGGATTTGCTTCTCTCCCTGCCTTTGGAGCAAGCTTTTATTGAAGAACAACATACATAAAGAAAAGTTCACATAGCACAAATCGTAAGAGTTAAACTCACCGAACTTCGACAAATGGAGCACACCCACGTGAGAAAGAGAACACCAACCCCGCCCCTCAGAAACCTCCCTTAGACTCCCTTCCAGTAACTATCCCACCCATAACTGCTCTCATGTTTGTGACAGCAGAAGTGACAGGTATATCTGCTTCTGAAACTTTGTTCAGCTGCCTATTCAGAATACAACCTAGGAACACTGGGTTAACTTGCTGGTTTCCACATCAGCCATGTGGGAGACATTAATTTTTATTGCTTAGCACAGTGTCCAGTATGTAGCTGCAATTCAGTAGAGGTTTTGGATAAAGGGCTAAAAGAAAAACAAGAGTTGATGTACAGAATGTCTTGGGAATAAACTGGGGTTCCAAGGGGAAAAATAAGGATCTGGCTGCTTAGGACAGTATGTACTGAGTGAACTGTGTCTGATCATTCACAAATTTAATTTGTACCAGTTTATTATACTTTCTTTTTATATTAGTTAGGCACAGTGTTGCTACTCCGAAAACATTTATGTCAAATATTATATAACCTTTGTTTTTTTTTAATTATAATAAAGGAGAAATTACAAATATTCATCAGAAATGGGAAGTGTTTATTCCAGTTAGATTGAGGACCTCTGCTCTATTCATATTTCTCTGCCACACACGTGCCATGCTTGAGACATTTTAAGGACGCTCCTGTCTCTTTGCATTGCTCAACTCATTCCCGCCATTTAAAACAGTCACCTGGAAGGAAACCATGACTTGATAACAATGGCTTTGAAAAGCCAGGCTAGGAACTGAAGTTATCTTTTAGTATGCACCAGTTAGCCATTGTGCACTATTTAGCAATTTAGGCATTGCTGATATTGAGCAGGCTTACAGTTAGACATGGAGGTGAAAGTCACTCCAAAAAAAAAAAAAAAAAAAAAAAAAAAAAGTGAAAACACAACCCACGCTAAAGGAAGAAATTATGGGTGCATTACATACCTAACAGTCTGTTAACCACAATGTATAATTTATAGAATTCAACAGCAAAAAATTACAAAATGGAGAAACAGCTGAACATACACGCTGCCAATAAGACATCCAAATGGAAAAGAGGCACATAAAAGACGAATAATATCATTATCATTATGGCCATCCAAACTGAACGACATACTCAATGTTGTACTCAATGTCATACACAATGACATACACACACTTTGCNAAAAAAAAAAAAAAAAAGAAATCCAGACTTCCTCGCAATCTTGGTTGGCAAGAAACACTCGGACTCTGGGAAACAGCAGCCCCGAACCCATAGCCATCTGTCCATTTATGGCAGTGTACCCTGATGAGGAGGTGACACCGCAGCCAAGGGCAGTGCCACTACCTAGCCAACAAGACCAATTAGAAAGGGACTCTGGTACCAGTAAGTAGCTGATCACTGAGAAATACATTGAGTAGTATATCTAGCACTGTGTTCAGTGCAATAGATCAAACTATGTGGCTTACTAGAGATGGAGAGTACAATTCTAAAGATTTCAAGTTAAATGGGAATGTATTTTTTCATTAACTAAACATGTGCTAAGTATCTTATATGGTTTGGATGCTCCTCTCCGAGCCTCATGTTGAAATGTAATCCCCGGGTGCAGTGGCTCACGCGTCCAATCCCAAAACTTTGGGAGGCTGAGGTGGGCAGATCACGAGGTCAAGCGATCGAGACCATCCTGGCCAACATGGTGAAACCGTCTCTACTGAAAAATACAAAAATTAGCTGGGCGTGGTGGTGCACAACTGTAGTCCCACCTACTGGGGAGGCTGAGGCAGAAGAATTGCTTGAACCTGGGCGGTGGAGGTTGCAGTGAGCCGAGATTGCGCCACTGCACTCCAGCCTGGCGCCTGGTGACAGAACGAGACAGAACTCTGTCTCAAAAAAAAAAAGAAGAAGAAAAAAGAAAGAAAGGTAATCCTCAGTGTGGGAGCTGAGGCCTCATGGGAGGTGTTTTTGTCATGGGGCAGATTCCTTATCAATGGCCTGGTGCCCTCCTGGCACTAATGAGTGAGTTCTCACTCAGTTCACATAAGATCTGGTTGTTTAAAAGAGCGTGGCATGTGCTCCATCCCCTTGTTCACTCTTGCCATGTGACATGCCTGCTCCTGCTCCCCCTTGTGCCGTGGGTAAAAGCTCCTTGAGGCCTCACCAGAAGCCAAGCAGATGCCAGTGCCATGCTTCCTGTACAACCTGTAGAACTAGGAGCCAATGAAACCTCTTTTCCTTATAAACTGCTCAGCCTCAGGTATTCCTTTACAGCAGCACAAAAACGGACCGACAGTATCTAATATGTACCTGGTATAGGGAAGATATCGAGAAAGACAAAGTTGACAGTCTTAGTCTCTTCCCACCTAATAAAACTTTATCAGTAAAAGCTTGATTCCAAGTCCTTGGATTGAGATTTTGGATGTCCTTGGTGATTACTGAGGGAATTGCTATTGATCAGAACGTATGAGGAAACCATAAGCAGTGCTGTGGGCTACAGGCAGAGAATTGACACAGTGCTCATAGGCAGGCATCCCTGTCCCTCTCTACCTGTGTGAAAAGAGACACTATTCACATCCAGGCTTAAGTCCTAGTTCCTCTTCAGAGCCCTCCCTGTTCCCTCAGTCAAAGTGATTCTCCCTTCCTCTGAAATTATCTTACTGCCTAGATCATCCTTATGGACTTTGCCCTGCATTGCTTTGGTTTGTAGTGACATGTAGGTATCTTACCTCGCTATCTTAAATGTGAACTCCTGCAGAGCAGGGGCCCTTTGTTACAACACTGTTTACTCCCCCAGAGCGCAACACCTTACATTGTTCTCTACCCATGACAGGTGTTTTATAAGTATTTGTATGTTAATTAATCTCAATCACAATGCCTAGATTTATCTGTTTAACATTCTCACCTAGTCCTTTCTGAATACTTAGACTTGATTTTTCAGGAGGCCTACCGGTCTCTCTGGGTACCAAAAATCATAATTATACACCAAGTTCCAGGGATTTGGCGCTCCAAAATATGCTCTCCGTGACTTTGAAAAATTCTTAACTTTTGTGTGCATTATATATTGCGTATATTGCATCATATATTAAAATACATAAAATCACATAAAATATATAATATTGTATGCAATTACATGCATTATAAATGGGAATCATCATAAAATACAAATAGATGCACATGTACACACATGTGCACACATATAGTATATTATTATATATGATATATGGACATATTTTTATGTCATATATAATAATGACAAATCCAGGCATTGGTGCTTCAGATTAATCATCATACAAATACTTACAAAACACCTGTCATGGGTAGAGAACATACATAAAATATGTATATATGTAAATATGTATGTATGACATATTTGTAAATGTACAAACACACAATATTTTCTTTTGTACTTTCTGCTTTCTCTTGATCTCTCAAACTTTGGTTTCCTAAGCATTTTGCAAACCAAAAAAAAAAAAAAAAAATCTAAATATAAATTTGAAATGAACAAAAACTACCTAAGGGACCTGGAGAACTTCACTTTTGATGAAATTATGGAAATGGGCAAAATGTGCAAGCAGTTCAGATGCTGAGGGCATTTTAGCGATACATGCGTGATGGTCTTATGCAAGAAAAAATAAGTTGGTGTTCTGTGCCATCGTGCTAAGAATGCACAGAGCTTCATTTCAACAAAGTAACGAATGAACAAAAAATAAGAAGAAAAAAAACTTTTGTACCATTTAGCCAGAGAAAATTCAGATTCAGTATTAAGGACTGATCATGGAGAAGACAGCAAGAATTCTAGACCGTCTACTTCTTCCTCTTTTTTGTCTGTTATAAAAAAAAGCACATTGCAGCTCTCAGCATCAGAGAGCCTAGGTACTCTTTTAAAATGTAACGGTAATAGTAACAAAAGAATAACTTACAGAATCCTACCCCTCCTTCCCTATTATCAGTAACAGGATCCTCTTGGATCCACAGCAGGGGTGGAGATTTCTATGCTAGGAAACATACCCTGGAATGACAGCCAGGTAAAGCGTCCATGCCATTCTAAAGTGAGGCCCCAGAGAGCCTGTCAACCTCCCACTTCTGAGTTTCCATATGCAAAGGACTCTCCCTCCCTGTTCTGACTCCTGGTGGCCTGGAACCACCTTCAGACATAGACCTTGTTTGTTGTTGCCCAACCTCCATTGATGTTGTCATAAATGGGACAAAAAAACCCTGTCCATTCTGGGGTGACGTTAACATTCATGGGAATCCATAATCAAATTACTAAAATTAATCATTAAAATGCATAACTTGGTTTCTAGATATAAGACCAAATTTGATATGAAGTAAGTTCTTATACACTAGCAATACACAATTACAAAGTATAATTCTAATGTATTATTTGCGTTGCCAAAATATTAAAAACTGAATAACTTTGAGATAAATCTGACAACAGAAATACAAAGAGAAAGTGATAAATCCTTATGTAATAGCATTAAGAAAGGTAAAAGTAAATTGTTTTTTAATAGGTCTCCACACAATTCTAAAAATATACTTCTCAAATTAATCGATAAAATTTCATATCATTGCAGTGATGTTATTAAATTTTATACATTAATTTGAGAAGTATATTTTTATAATTGTGATAAAATGATATGAATCGGTGTTTTAAAGAAGAGAAACAAGAATCAGCGGCAGGCAAAACATTTACCAATGAAACGCTGGTGTGTATTTACCAACAAAGCCACAAAGGGATCCACGAAACTGAGTTCAACATCTAACCAGCTGATAGTAAGTACTGAGTTGTATGCATACGGAACAACCAGTAATCTTATTCATTTGTGTGATTGTAAATTGCTGCAACCACTTGGGAAAAGAAGTTCGCATTGTCTTGCAAAGCTGAAAGGGTATCTTGTTTTTTTGGTGCTGGCCTGCCATTTACTTTCTCTTTGTCTAGTCCCAGTGTAGTCATATGAAGGGTATTTCATGCAGCAAACCCTGTCCTGGGAATGTGCAGTCAGAAAACTAACATACTCACTGGGAGATATGCAGAAGAAGGTTCGTCTTGAAAAAGTTTGTAAAGATAAAAAGTGGTAAGCAAACGAAATGTGCTTTGACAAGAAATTGGATCATTTTAATCTGTAATGTTCACATAAATGAATGGTACAGATCAGGGAAAATAAACCATAGTGTCACATATTATTATAGATGGATTTTAAAACATATGACTGAGTGGGAAAAACAAAATTTAATAGGATATATTGGCTGAGCATGGTGGCTTACTCCTGTAATCCCAGCACTTTGAGAGGCTGAAATGGGTGGGTCACGACATCAGGAGTTTAAGACCAAATTGGCCAAGATGGTGAAACCCCATCTTTACTAAAAATACAAAAATTAGCCAGGCATTGTGGTGGGTGCCTGTAATCCCAGCTACTCAGGAGGCTGAGGCAGAGAGTTGCTTGAACCCTGGACACAGAGCTTGCAGTGAGCCAAGATCGCGCCACTGCACTCCAACCTGGGCCACAGAGCGAGACAGCATCTCAAAAAACAAACAAACAAACAAACAAACAAAAAGATTATATATAGTAGGATACCAGCAACATAAG